CACATTATTGAATTCAAATGCTCTTTTCCCAGTGAGTAGTTCCACAAGCACAATCCCAAAACTATAAACATCACTCTTTTCATTCAACTGGCCTATTTGGAGGTACTCCGGATCTAAGCATCCTATTGTTCCTTGGATCACGGTGCCAACTTGGGCTTCATCAAGATGGATAAGTCTTGAAGCTCCAAAATCAGACACCTTTGCTCTATTGTCATGGTCTAATAGTATGTTGGCAGATTTAATATCTCGATGGATAATTGGAATAGAAGCTGCAGAGTGTAAATATGAAATGGTTTCAGCAGTCTCTGCAGCTATTCTTAATCGAGTCTCCCATGTAATAGAACAATCTTTTTTTGATGGGCTTAGGTGGTCAAGAAGGGTGTGATTATCTACAAACTCATAAACTAATAAAGGCACTTTAGTTTCAAGACAACACCCTAAAAGTTTGACCACATTCCGATGGTTGATCTGGGAAAGAACAAATACTTCATTGATAAAACTTTTAATATTTTGGGGATCCCCTCCAACTCAAGACTTCTTAATGGCAACATGTGTGTTGTTCGACAATGTACCCTTATAAACCGTTCCTTGTCCTCCACAACCAAGGACCCTGCTTTCATCAAAGTTGTTTGTGGCATTCTTAAGCTCATTTTTTGTAAAGATCTTGGCCCTTTCAGTATATCCTTGTCGTTAAGAAAATTGTTGTAAAAGCAAGTTTCCCCCATTTTGCTTAAAGTTTCTTTCTCTTAGTTGTTTCAAAGTTCTTTGCTTTTGTGCCCAACATAATGCAAAGAGGAGAGTGAAGACAACCAACAAAGCTAAAGCAACAACTACATACAAGCAATAAATTTTGATATGTTATTTTTCTACAAAAAAAAGTTTAGAATTTCGATTTAAACATATGTGAGGGTGGTAATTAATCTCCTATGTTTATTTTTAATCATGCTCTCCAACAAAATCCTAAACCAAACACAAATAAATAAACTATAGTTTGAAGATGGTGGCAAGAGTACTGTTTGACAATGTGATATAGTTAAATAAAGGGTTGAAGGGTAATTTAGCTGTTAAATTTTATGTCCAAAAGTGTCTAAGACACTAAACTCATTTTTGATGTAATATCTCCCTCAATTTTTAAAAATAGTGCAATATAGTTTTTGCTTTTAATAAAAGTTAACTTTGACTATTTTTTGACTAAAAAATGACATCAAAGAAAATTTAACTTTTGTAGTTAATGGTAGAGGTGAAATTGCACCATTTTCAAAAGTTGAGGGAACATCGCACTAAAAACAAGTTTAAGGTTCCAAACGCTCCAAGCTAAACCTATAGTTTAAGAGTTGAATTGTTATTTAATCCTTAAATAAACAAGCTGCTTTTTCATTAGTATTGAAAAATTTTAAGCTTTTTAAAATATTTTATTTTTAAAATTAGAAATTAATCTGTTGGTTCAACTTTTATTTTCAATTTTAAAAATTTGATCGTTCTTTTTCAATTTTATTTAAGAAAGCAACCATGCAAGTTGTTTTCAATGGGCATAAACTAAGGACGAAAAACCTTCAGGCTTAATATCTGGCTGTCCAAGAAAAAATAAATCGAATAAAAAAATTAGATACCCGAGTTTATATTAGAAAATGGCTTAAAACACCTCCAAAATATGCAAATGACAATTAGGTACCATAAAATGTGATAATTATTTTCTAGTCCCTAGGGACTTGCTTGACAATGTTTTTGTGAAATAACATCTTTGTCCTTATAAAGAATATCCTTTCTCTTACTAAATCATTGACTACTTTGTTTTGGGAATTAACTATTTTGCTTGGGAAAATGACCATAACATAGTAGCAACTGCAAGTTGTTTTGTGCAGATTTTTTAACCAATGAAGTCCAACAACTAAAGAATAGTTACTACTTTCTTTTAAGAAACAGCTACTTTTCTCAGGAAAATGATTGGAACAGAATATAACAAATTATAAGTTGATATTTTTTTATCAATGAAATCCCACAGCTAAAAATTTTGCATAGAGTAATTTGTAATATGTTATTCCATTATAGTCATTTTTACAAGAAAAGTAGTTATTTCCCAAAACAAAATTGTTCCTGATTTACTAAAATAAAGGATCGTTTTCTTGGAACAAATATGTCATTTCACAAAAACGACATTGAAATCTTGGGGTTTAAAAATAATTATTATATTTTGCGGTACCTAAATTGTCATTTACATATTTTGGAGGTATTTTTCTGTCAATTTTCCAATTTATATGTGTAATGTTTTTTATTCAATGAAAACAATTAATATTTTTAAAAATATTTCAAAATTTAAAATATTTTCCTAACACAATTTAATTGAAAAAATAACTTCAATATAAAGTATACAAGTTTTCTCCACAGATTATATAATTCTTGTCAATGGTGTTTTTTATGCCAAATTAAACAGTATATTCATCTTTTGGACCAGCAATAGTTCATTAATTCTTATTTCATTATTTCAGTATACTCATGACAATCTTACCCATGTTTACATAATAAAATATAGGGGAAATTTTTCATATTATAGGTCTCAAGTAAGGAAAAAATTAAATAATAATATAATAGGTCCTTCAGTTTTAATTTATTTCTTATACTAATGGGTTTTAAAGGGACTTTGGAGTAATTTAAAAAAGTGTGAAATTGTTCCACTGCCTTCTTGGCCTCCTTGACCATTGATTTATTGACCAGTTGTCAAAACTACTTTAAAAAAGAAGAAGAAGAAGTCAAATAGCTAGACAAACAAATCTTAATATTGGTACACATGCTTACCAAAAGGAAGTGTAACGATACGCCAACTCTGATCAGAGTGAACCGGAGTGCTGCAGCCTGAGCCCGGTTCAGTTTCATTATTGAGGCCATTGCCTTGTTGTCCAGGTGGACAAGAACATGTGTAGCTTCCATACGTATTGTTGCAAAGTTCCCAATGCTTGCATTTATTCAAGTCTCTCATAAGGCACTCGTCCACATCTGAAATTATATTGTTGAGATATCATTTCACAATTAATCCTATAGAAAATAGTATTAAAATATTCTCTAAAATTTACTTTTCAAATTTTTTCAAGTATGTAGAATTATACATCTATATTTCCCTAAAACTTAATATTGCCACCTATATATCAAAATCAAATGCATCTAAAGTCGCTTGCACTGTGAATGCTTAGATTTGGATTCTGTAAGTGTCCCAAATCCTCTCACACAATAAGTGCCCATATTGCAACTGTAAGATTTTATCAACATTTGAAAATTCATGCCTGACGAGAGAAACAAATGAAAAAGCTATTTTTATAAAGATGTGTTTTAATCATTTTTCGGCAGTCACATGTATGATTGAATTATATTATAAGACATGGGAAAAGATGTATCTTAATATAACATCTACGATAAATTTCGATTATAAATCAATGATAATCTCTATATATAGTGCGATGTGAGACACTTGTTGTGTTAGAGGATTTGGAACACTCATTCAATTCAATCCGGATCCGTGAATATTTAATGGGTAAGAGGATTTAAATTTTGGAGACTGATAGAATTCAAATCCATAAACAACTTAAACATATATATTGGGACAACTTAAACATAAGCTACTCGATCCCTTTTGCTTTGTCATTTTGAAAAAAATGAAGGTGAGAGTAATATATATTCAATGATAATCACCTTTGCAGCCACCGGAGAGGTAGGGGTTGCCTTCAAACCCTGGTTTACATTTGCAGAAGTAGTAGCCATCGACACTTTGTGATTCTTCACATCTACTTTCATTAGCTTTGCAGGCTCCAGCGCATGACTTAGTCTCATCAACAGCCCAATCGAGAACCACAGTAGATCTTTTGCTTTTCCTTAGATTGCCGATTTCTCTGTCGGAATAGTTGAACGATCCGTTCTTGGCAAAAAATGCATAACTGCAATTCTTAAAGAAGTCGTCGCCGGCCATGTCTGGCCTCGATTGTAAAAAACAATATTATTCGTATAACCTCTAATAGCTTGCTCAAAGCTACTCTGACAGCAACCAGATCGACCAGAGCAGTTTCCAAATCCCACGGATAATGACAAGTCACTGCACTCTGAGTTGCAGCCGATAAGTCTTTTTACTTCGAGGTCATAGAAGCAAGCGTAGGCGTTACACCCCACGACGGTGAAAACGTTCTTTTTATTGGGTATAACGAACTTGGTAGGAACCGGAAGACCACTGCCCCAATAATTGCTTTCTTTGGGATAGCAATCATGATAAACCAGAGAAGAGACGAGCAGCTCACTGGCGTCCCCAGAGATGTTGAGGACTTGGAAAGTTTCATTTGTTCCTAAATATGGGATCAGATCCTTGCAGGTTATACGAAAATCTTCATCTTTAAAGCAGTCTTCCGATGTGCCAAAGGGAGGATAGATGTCCACGTCCCCGCACTTGCTATGGCAGGCTGCGATGGGGGATGCATCGGAGGTGGCGGCCGCGGTCGCTGCCACTAATGCCAGTTTCAAAAGCAATGGACTACTCAAACCCATCATTTTACTATTGTGATGATCGTGACAATAATGCTTGTGCATTTTGATGATCAGGTAAGCCAAGGCATTTAACATGAACATACTTGCCAGGGAAGCACAAAAGCACCTTCTTGTTACTGAGATACTGTTTATTGAACCAATTGAAGTAGTAATTTAAGGGTTAATGATTCAACTAAGTGATATCCCGCACTCAAATCGATTAAAATTAAAATAATATACTTTAATTTAAATATACAAAAATGTTCTTATTTATAAACTATGAAAAAACAGTATAATATTCAAATAAAGAAGTTCTTAATTTTTACTTTTGCAATTTTTGACTCTGTGAAATTACCAAGTTCGAACTGATAGAGGCTAAAAGGAGAATTACTTTTGCAATTTTTGACTCTGTGAAATTACCAAAATGCCCTTCTTCAAATCTGATATATTCCTCTTCTTTCTTTCTCTTTATCAGATCCGTGCATACTGGTTGGTGGAGAGAGAGCTTGAAGATTTTCCAAAATCTTCAAACCCTCGTCCAGACTTCTGTCCTCCGCTATCAGCTTTGTCATTCTACTGGTCGCCAGTGACTCCATAAACGCCCGAGTCTTCACCGTGGGAAAGGACAAATGGGCTGGTAGTGCTCTCCTCTGTTTTGCGTCATTCTCCCTTATCTTATCGTCTGTAAAACCGTGCAAGTAACTCGAGCTTCCTCGTCGTTTTTTTTTTCAGTCTGTAGCTTGTGGTTATGAGCTCGCCGGCGTGCTTGCTGTTGCTGTTGTCTCATCCGCCCTTGATCAACAAAAACATGTCGTCTTCCTCCTCCTCCTCTATTCCAGATCGATTTTTTTCCTTTTCTTCATCATTGGCATGGCTGTGCAGGTGAATAGGAGAACTTACTTCTTTTGTTCTACTTGCTCTGTCAATCACTGGTTTGCTCATCTCTTCTCTATGCCAACAGCGATCTTCCTCTCTTTCACTATGCAGACGAACATTCTCTTCCCCCTCTTAGTTTGCGTGTTGTTAGTTTATCCAAGGTGAGAATCTTTGATCTCTTCTCCTTAGAAAATTCTGTGCGTGTGAGATGGTGAAGGGATGGAGTTGATGTTGCAATTTTATTTTTCTTAAGCCCTGCTGCTGCCCGTGACCGTATATGGGTATATAGGAAGAGGAAACTTGATTTTAAATTGAAATTAGTGGTTTTATAAGGAAGGAGTTGATAGTATGGAATTGAGTTTGTAATTAAAAATGATTGAATTAGTGATGTTGTAAGGTTTAAGGAAGCTGAAATTTTGAAAGAAAATGTTAATATTAGCTTGATAACTTATGCTCATATAGTGTTTGATAAAATTTCCAGGAAGAGAGTTGGCTTGGATTTGCATTTTTGAAATTTAATTAGTCTTTGTGAGAAGTATGCTAGTATGAAAAATTTTGGATCTGCAAATTGACTTATAGATTGTAAAAGAATTTAAATATGAATTTGTATGAAGCCATTTAAATTCTTGAGAATTGTAAGGTTATTAGTAAATTGTTGGATGTTTAAATTGAATTGGTAGAAGTAAGGCACCCAAGGAATTTGGTGCAAAGCTTGAGAGAAAATTGTATCTCAAGGAAATAGATTGGCATAGTTAAAATAAGTTAGAGGAGACTAGTGATATGGATAACAATACTTTGATCAACTCTAAGGCATGAATTTTTGTTTTGGAAATTTAAATGATGGTGGTTGGTTGAGATTATGTAATAGATTAAAAAAAAGTTATTGAAAGGATATTTATTTATATCCTTATAGAGTGTGTGGAAGAACAGGACCTTAAAAAGAATTAAAGGAAGAATATCTTTGAGAATTTAGAACTCTGACGAGTAAGTGAATAGCATTCCATTTAATTTATTTTTATTTTTAATAGCTTTTTTCCTGAAATATTTTATTCTTATGAATTATATTAATTTTGAAAATTATGAAGTATCAATGAAGGACAAATAAGTTATGGTATGTGCATTTATTGATTCTTGAAAATATATTTCCAAAATTGATGGAAGCATTCTTGTATGGTTGTTAAACTTTGAAATTTATTGAATACTTAATTAATGCAAGTTTATGATTTTGACAAATGTTGAGATTTGAAACAATTTATGCGAGTTTGGCAGTAAGAATGATAATTTATTTCAATCATAATTGTTTTTCTCGCATGTTTGAAGCATGATTTTAAGAGAACTCGAAACAGAACACTGCTACTAACGGTAGTTCCGTTAGCCCATAGCGCGCTGTGGTTAAACACTAGCTAGTTTGTTTCGTGAGTTTTATTCTCAAGTTTGGTATTCATGAGCTTTGTACTTGCGTTTGATTCCATGGCCTGAGCCGCGTTTGATTATTTATCCTCGTGGACTGTGTCTCCATGTTTGTTTCGTAGCTTCGGCTGCATTTGGTTACTTACCCTCGTGGACTGGTGTGTCCACGTTTGTTTTCGTGGCATAAGCCGCGTTTGGTTATTTATCCTCGTGGACTGTGTCTCCACGTTTGTAACCTGTTTTGTTGAGTTCTCAAAATTTTAAATGTTGATTAAAGTGTTTTCAAAATTTATATGATTATGGCTAACAATTTTACTACTTTGAATTATATGTGAGTAAATTGTTTTCTTTAAGCATGATAGCATAAATTATTTTCAACTTACTCATATTTTACAATTATGATTATGACTTACAGATTTATAAAAATTTTGAGGAATTATTTTAATTAGTTGGCACCATTATTAGAGTTTGTTGATTTTAAATTTTAAGAATTTTACCATGGGAATGCTATTAATTGAAAAAGTTATTTTGGCCTCAAATTTGTTAGCTGACGCTGATTCCCCTTAACCTCTGAAAGGCAAACTAGCTACAATGGGTGGAAATTTTTAATTGGTATTATTGCTTTTAATGTAACTAGATAATTTGTATGTTTTTTTTATTTAAAAGAAAGAGTAGATGCTCCACATAGATTATTGATAAACTTTGTTTTAGTTTGTATATTAGTTGCTGGCTGGAAGGAGCTACGCTCTTGATTTATACTGTTGTCTGCAAAAAAATTTTGTTGTAGAATTTTCAGGAAATCTTAGTTACAGGGGAGGTTCTGCTGAAATTTCTACAAAAACATCAACACCTTCTTATGATAATGAGTTTAAAGAAATTATTTTAATTCTCATGTAATTTGATTAATTTTTTTCTTTTGTAAAATGGAATATATGTTCATTTTAGGGCTTACGGAAATGTGTAAGTGGTTCACACCCGTGAGTCACCCTTTATTTATGGGGTGTGACAGTTGTCTTGGTCCACCTCTCGTGGATTTGAATTTGAGGGACGGATTTAATAAGAGTTTGGTAAAGACATATATCAATCATAATCATCTGTGTGCATGTTTTGTAGAATTTAATGAAACAGTGTGATTTTAATTCGTTGTATAATTTCAAGCGTTCATTTAATTGCAAATACACGGTTGGAATGAATTATTGTGGTATCTATATCACCCCATGGCCGCATCTATTACGCTAGGACGTGTAACTTGTTTTACGAGTCTTTAAAAGAGGACTTGGACCAGGTTTTCAGAGTTATCTTCTACGTACTCTTCCTTCTAAATAAATATATTTGCATCACCTAATAACATCGGCTAATGGGCGGCCTCATAGAGTTGGACTATATATATATATATATATATCATCACTACATAATTGTGAAATCTAATTTGGATCTTTTATAATTGTTTTAGACTCTTAAAAAGACCATTAACGGTTTTTGATCATTCTGTGATAATAATAGTTTTTTTATCATTAAAAGCAGTAGTCTTTTACAAAACTCTTCAAAGGACCCAATTAATTCTATTTGAAAGCTAAGCCTATTGTGGATTTCCAAGAGTGTTCGTGGGAGATCTACGACAGAGGAAGGATCTATTGATTAGTAAGCGTGTTGATCGATGATTATTCTTCAACTCCCTCTATTTCTTTCTATTTAATTTGTTCCATCTTCAATTTTATGATTTAGTAAACTTGCAATAATATTATGTTTGAATTCATTAGTTGCTAAGCTTCAAGTCAAGGTAGAGCATATAGTATTAAAACCCAACTCAGATTGGCTGGTCAAACTAGTCCCGTGCTAGCCAGATCATGAGTTTTGGATGAATTAACTTGCTGTTGGGTTTTATATATTTTTCCTTTTGCTGAATTTGAAATGACATCATTTTTAGTTAATTATAATTAGGTTGATCTCGGTTCAATCATAGTTTGAATCATTAACCCTTAGTTTTGTCAAAATTTCCTCCATTTTGCTCAAATTTTGGAAAACATATAGAGAATGATCAACCTTGCTCTGTTTGAAGCCAATTTCAATCAAAGCGTGGGTGAATTTCGAATGCCAATTCCAAGAAGCCTATTGTAAGCCATACAAGGACTTTTTCAACTTCCACACTCATGTCTCCCCCTCACGAGCAAACTCTTAAGGGGATACACATGTAAATATCTTCATCGAAGTTCTCGTGAAGGAAAGCATTGTTAACGTCTAACTAATGAACAGCCCAGTCACGCTTGGTAGCATACAGCAAGCAAAGTGCACATAATGGCGAGTTTTGCCATAGGCGTGAGAGTATCATGAAAGTCCTCTCCTTTGGTTTGTGTGAAACCATGAGCTACCAAACGAGCTTTGTAACTAGCACTCTCCCTGTTGGGTTTGTACTTCATTTCATAAAACCATTTTGAATCAATGACATGCTTCCCAGGAGGTAACAACTCTAAACTCCATGTCTTGTTGGCTTTAAGGGCAGCAAGTCTCAATTCATGGCGAAGACTTGATTGCATGGCATGGCTAGAGAATATTGAATGTGATGTTTAACAAATACAACAAAGTGGGAGACTTTGACCAAGTCTCCTTTAATTTGTTGAATATTCCACACGCGAATTAGCCAAATGAATGTTCAACATAAAGGTTTGATCAGCAAGGCCAATTTTTTTATGCCTGGCTTCTCTTCTCCTGCCTGTTCTCTATCATCTTTGTTTATCAATAAACCATCTGGTATCCGATGTCAAAGCTTGACTAATCCAGATAAAATTAGGTCGGAATCCTTTCAAGTGAAAGCTCTATCATCAATTATGCTGACATATTTTTAGGACTCGAACTTGAAACCATTAGTTTAGTTAATACAATATCTCATTGCCAATTAAACCAAACGTTTGTTGGAATTTTCTCTCATCTCTTTAAACGTGATTTGAATTGTCCATTAAGTGAAAATAGTCTTTAAAATTCGAGTGCATAAAAGTGAAGCAACTCTTTGTGTTTTATTATTCATCGCTTGTCCAAACAGAAGCATTCGATAAAGTTCTCCAAAAAAATGTGCGTGTCAAGATATGGTTCCTTCCTTGAAGTGAAATTCATGCTGTCCAAATCTGATTGGAATGGCACGGAATATTTAAAATTTTTCGTTCTTTGTTTTTTAAGGGATAACTTTACTTTTCCCAGGGAAAAAACCAATATTTGCAAATTTGTCTTTCTTTTAGATTTCACATCTATTAAAATACAAACTATTTAAGGGAACAAGAATAAAGTAAAATTATATATGGACCATCCAATTTTAATCCAGACAAAAATACAGATAAATGGCAAAGACCCCAAACTCATCTTTTCAATATTTGTGGAGAGAAGCTGAACGACCTAACACATCCATCAAAATCACATTTGCATAATGCAATTCCAAATTTTCCACAAGTGCTTTTCACAGAGGCAACTTCCCTTATCACACAATTAAAAAAAGAATAGAAAAGGAAAAGGAAAAACAACTATGGCTGTGAATATTATTCAGTTCAATTTTCTATAAATTTTCTAATCTCATATGCATCTTTAGTTTTAAATTAATGGCATCACTCATAATATTTTCTACAAAACTTAGACACTAATATAAGGAAAATGAAAACCACCTTACACACGCTTTTATTCTCTCTCTCTCTCTCTCTCTCTCTCTCTCTCACACATCATATTTATGCAATGAGATACAAAACATCATTTTAGATGGATTACGATCAAAGGAACAAAAATTTGAACCTAAGCTAATAATATCTAAATAGTGTAAAATTAGTAAGATGACTAAAACGAAACAGACAAGTGTTTCCCTCCAAATTATTTATCACTAAAAATCAGTGACAAGTTAAAATTAGGAAATGATTACTTTTTTTTTTTGAAAATGACTAAAACAAAATAGTAAATGATAAATGCCTCAATGCAAATTTATTTATTAGTGAAGGCCAACTACTAAAAAATCGATGACAAGGTAAAATTGGGAAATGACTATTTTGAGAAAATGACTAAAGTGAAATGCTTTGAAGTTTGTCTATCTTTCTTTTACTCTTCTGAGAGGAAAAAAGGACTACAAAATAGTTATCACTATATTTCACGGTACTTATTTGTTATTGCATATTTCAAGAATTTTTTTTATTTGCCATTATCCCTTCTAAATTAAGGCCACCTTATAATCAATCTTGAGCCATACCTCATGCCATTCTCCATTGGGTAAATTCAATTTACATTTACCAAATCCATAAAAGACCCCCGAATTGTTTGATTTCGTGGAAACTTAATCATTTAATTTTATATATAATATGACAAGAAAGTTTCAAGAAATACATTTATGTGTATATGTGTAATTAAGACATGGAAATTTATGGAAAAAGGTGTGTGCGAAATTAATGAACACATTGCATCTGATGGATGCCAGTTTTTTTTAATGGAAATTAAATGATAATTTCATTAAGAACTGTCCAAGCAAATATAAGAAAGAAAAACAAATTAAAACTCCAAATCTTACATATACCAAACATGATCAAAGGCAATAAGAGTTCATTCCATCCATCTATTTGCAACTCATGAGTTAAATCATTAATTACTTGCAAATAAATGATTGAAATAGACTCTCATCAGCATTATTATTGTATCCACCTCTTACTGTGTCTAAAACCACAAGAATAGTGTAAACACATCAATGCACTTACTAATTGATAATGTAAGATCATCATCGGCCACCATCTATAATCTCAAAGGCAACGTGCTTTTGAATGCTATCATAGCTGGTAACTGAAATACTCCCACTAGCACTCCCGTATCCATCATTAGGAAAATGACCAAGTAAGTATTTACTTTCTTCTACCATCACATCCTTGTCCTTCTCTTGAAGATGTTTTTCCATTGCCATTAGGCCCTGTAGTTCCATTGCTACTTCCTTCATTGTTGGCCTTTCCTCTCCGTTAACTCTAATGCACCTTTTTGCCAATAAGGCTACTTCCTTCAATGGTTGTGCATTCTTCTTTTAGTCTAGCACTCACTTATCAAGAATTTTCCACAGGCGGTCTTCTCTCATTGAAGATACAAAGTGACTAGCCAACACATTATTGAATTTAAATGCTCTTTTCCCAGTGAGTAGTTCCACAAGCACAATCCCAAAACTATAAACATCACTCTTTTCATTCAATTGGCCTGTTTGTAGGTACTCCGTATCTAAATATCCCATTGTTCCTTGGATCACTGTGGCAACTTGAGCTTCATCAAGATGGACAAGCCTCGAAGCTCCAAAATCAGACACCTTTGCTCTGTTATCATGGTCTAATAGTATATTCGCAGATTTAATATCTCAATGGATAATTGGAATAGAAGCAGCAGAGTGTAAATATGAAATGGCTTCAGAAGTCTCTGCAGCTATTCTTAATCGAGTCTCCCATGTAATAGAACAATCATTTTTTGATGGGCTAAGATGATCAAGAAGGGTGCCATTGTCTACAAATTTATAAACTAATAAAGGCACTTCAGTTTCAAGACAACACCCTAAAAGTTTGACGACATTCCGATGGTTGATCTGGGAAAGAACAAATACTTCATTGACAAAACTTTTAATATTTTGGAGATCCCCTCCAACTCTAGACTTTTTAATGGCAACATGTGTGTTGTTTGACAACGTACCCTTATAAACTGTGCCTTGTCCTCCACAACCAAGTATCCCACTTTCATCAAAGTTGTTTGTGGCTCATCTTCTGTGAAGATCTTGGTCCTTGCAGTATATCCTTGTCGTTGTGAAAATTGTTGTAGAAGCAAGTTTCCTCCATTTTGTTCAAAATTTCTTTTTCTCAGTTGTTTCAAACTTCTTCGCTTTTGTGCCCAACATAATGCAAAGAGCAGTGTGAAGACAACCAACAAAGCTACAGCAACAACTGCAAGCAATAGAATTCAAAATGAGATTTTATTCTAGAAAAAATGTTTCGAATTTTGATTTCAACATATGTGAAGATGCAAATCCTCTGTCCATTTTTAATCATTCTCCTACGCCAAGTCCTAATAAACAAATTAAACCGGCCGTGAAGAAATAATTAACTGTAATTTGAAGACGGTAGCGACACTTTTTGACAATGTGATATAGTTAAGACAAATTACTATTTCGTTAGTTTTAAAAACATTGAAATATTTTTTGAAAAATATTTTATTTAATTTAAGGGAATTAAACACACATGTCCTTTTCAACGTAGATAAACTTAGGAAGCAAAAAAACTTTCATGATTAAAAAGTTGGCTGTCCTAAAATTTAAATTGACGGAAAAAAATTAAATACTTAATTTGCTTGAGTAAATCTTAACTTGCAATGTTTTCATAGTTTATAAAATGACTATATTATATAGCTTGAGCTTATATTTAAAATGTGAAAGTGCATTTGTGCAAAGTATAAAGAAACGATATAATGTCGTGATATGGTTGCCAACTTAATGCATTTCATATATCTATGAAATATTCGTATATGCTTACCTAATGAAATTGTAATGACACGCCCAACCTGATTAGAATCCGGATCCGGAATGCTGCAGCCCGAACCCAGTCCAGTTTCGTTTTTGAGGCCATTACCTTTTTGTCCACTTGGGCAAGTACATGTGTAGCCACCACGATGATTGGTGCAAACTGCCGAGTCTGTACAATTATTGATGCCATGGCACTCATCCACATCTGAAATCATGAGAGATCGTAGCACAATTAATCTTATAGAAAGTATCCATGTGGACTATATTATAACTTCTATCCTTTGCATAGGCACCTAATCACAATTTAATTAGCGTGTTGACATAATTTAGTAGGATTCCTGAGTTCGAGTCCGCAAAAATACATTCGGGTTAAATAAAAATGTCAAAGACATTTTTTAAATGCCTATGAGGTTGCCATTGGTGATGTCACATAACATGATTGAGATTAATTTGGATAGGATGTGGTAATTAATACTGATAGATTTTTTAAAATACCAAGTGAAGGAATAAAAATATCAGTTATTTCTTCAAGTTCAGAGACAATTTTAATTAATTTCAAAAGATCAAGAAAAGAATAGTCAAAAGTTATTTACATAATTAAAAAGTTTAAAAAATTCAATTAAAATTAAGCTATCTTAATTTTATTTAATTTATTTCTTATATAATCCTCTTTAAAATACATTTAATAAGGGAATTTGTGAAAAAAAGAATTTAATAATTTTGGACCGGAGAAGGAGTATTTCTTCTGAAATTTAAAAATTACCTTAAAAAATCTAGTTAGGAGAGTTTTTTTAATTAGTTAGGAACTTTCACAAAAAAAAAAAAAAACCTAGTCAGGAATATTATATGAAAAAAATTAATAGTTTAGACAAAATATGTTATAGGTAGAAAATCATTTGCAAAAACAAAATCAAAGTGTGATTAATATTCTATAATCACCTTTGCAGCCACCGCGGAGGTAGGGGTTGCCTTCAAACCCTTGTTTACATCTGCAGAGGTAGTAAGCTTTGACACTTTGTGATTCTTCGCATATACTTTCGTCATCTTTGCAGGCTCCACCGCATGATTTCGTCTCATCAACACCCCAATCCAGTACCACCGTAGATCTTTTATGTTGGACTAGATCGTCAAGGTCGTTGTCGGAAAAGTTGAAAGTTCCGTTCTTGGCAAAAAACGCATAACTGCATTTGAGGACGTCTGACGCGTTTCGGCTACCATAAAAAACAATACTATTAGTGTAATTTCTAATGGGTTGCCCAAAATTAGTCCGGCAGCAGCCGGCGCCGGAGCAGGATCCTTTTGCCATGGTTTCGCCGTAACTGCACTCTGAGTTGCAGCCGATGGGTCTTTTTTCTCCAATGTCGTAGAGGAAAGCGTAGGTGTCACACCCAACGACGAAGAAATCGTTCTCTGTATTGGATATGGCAAACTTGGGAGGCACCTGAAAGCCTTTTGTCCAATAAATGCCTTCTCCAGGATCGTAGCAATCATAATAAACTGGAGTGAAGACGAGCAGCTCACTGGTCTCCCCAGAGATGTTGAGAACTTGGATAGTGGTTTTTGTTCCTAGATAAGGAACGGGGAATCCAGAGGAAGTGTTGCAAGTTATCAGAAAATGAGGATCTTTGAAGCAGTCTTTGGTTGTGCCGAAAGGATAAGAGATTTTCACGTCCCCGCACATGGTATCGCAGCCCAATTTCTTGACGGCGGCAGGCGGTGGCGCCGGCGATGCCAGTGTGGAGGCTACTAATGACAGTTTGATCAAAAGCAATACAACACTCAAGCCCATGGTTTACCAGTGTGTGTTGATGATAATGCAGTGCATTCTGCTGATCAGGAAAGCTGATGATCACTTATAATAAGATGTTGACGAAGACCTGATTGCATTTTCATGCATGGCTCCACAAGTCATTAAAGATGGAGAGAACATTGGAAGGGTTCCGTGCTTGTTTGGTTATGTTTTCTGCAAAATAAAAATGTAGAATATATATTTTAGAATAAGCTTTGGAAATGAGAAATTAAAAAAAAATATGTTTCAATCATTATTTTAAAAAATATATCTAAATTGGTAAAATAAATGGTGAAAAAATAATTTATTTTATTAACATAATTGCTACTATTAATGAAAGTATGATACGTGCATGTTTGACTACTTGTTTTCAGAGCAATTTTTTGTTCTCAAAAACCAAAAAATAAAAAATAAAAACAGTTTGAAAATGTATTTTCTTTTATCTTTTTTTTTTTTAAGTTAAGAGTCGCTCTCAAAAATTAACCTATTACTTTTTGTTCTTTAAAATTAGAGTAAAGGAAAAAAATATCATATTTTTATTAATGGTAATTATGTTAATAAAATAAATTATTCTTTTATATTATTTATTTCACCAATTTGATATGTTTTTAAAAATAATGATCAGATTGATTTTTTTTCTAATTTTTTGTTTTCAAATCTTGTTTTGAAAAATTATTTTGAGAATTTTTTTAAGAGCATAAAAAAGAACCAAACGAGGCCAATATTTTCTGCCTTTTTTCTAGTTTTGCAGAACAAAAGTAAAAAAAAAAACATTTAAAAGATGTTCTGACTTTTAAGTTCTTCAAAATAATTTTTTTTTCCAAATAGATAACAAAAATTACATTTTAAATAGGTTTTTTTTTCCCCTTCCTTTCTCAAGAATAAAAACCGTTACAAAACAGGTAATGCCCTTCTCACATATGCAACAAAGTGAGAGGCTTTGACCAATAACGCGAGCGCGACAAGGGATGAGCTCGGTCAGATATATAAGAGAGGACTTGGGCAAGTCCAAGTCTTTGGACATGTGGTACTATGGCCCCATCTCATGAGTTGGGACCATCCATCACCATGTAATTCTGAAATTAATTTGGATCTTTCTTATAATTATTTTAGACTTCTAGTCTTCTAGAATATATTAAATTTTTAATTTTTTATCATTTTAATTGGTTACAGTGTTAAAAACAATAATATTTTGTCCTTTGGACTTAGAGGCTAACTTTGCTGCTAGTAATGGCCAGTTTGGTTTTCTATTTTTAAAAACTATTTCCTTTTTTTTAAAAGCAAAATATTTAAAAACTCATTCGGAATAATGTTTTGAATTTAATTATTTTTAAAATTGTTCTCATTTTTTTAAAATCATAAAATGGAAATATGTTAAAATTATTTTTATTTTTATTTTTATTTTCTTGTTTTCAAAACGCACTGCATTTGATTATCAGAAAATATAGTTAGCTTAATCAATTTTTATCATAAAATATTATTATTAATCACCTGCAATAAAATTTATTTTTAAATTTTAATTTTTTTAAAATTATTATAACAAAACATATTTTTATTTTATTTTTTTTTGAAAAATAATTCTGTAGCCTATATTACAGAAAAAGTTTTTTTTAAAAAAAATGAGAACATACATCTAACAGGTCCTAAAAGTCTATGGTTCAACTCATCTAATTAAAGTATTTTTAATTTGCGTAATCAAACATATTTTCATTTTCTTTTTTTTTTTTAAATAATTCTGAAACCTATATGTTACAAAACAAGTTTTTGAAAAAAAAAAAAACAGAGAAAGAACATACACCTAACAGGCCCTAAGTCTCTATAATTATTCAACTCATCTAATTAAACTTTTCTTCACCAAAAAAATATTACTACTTTGAGGACAAACCATTGAGCATCTCATAACTGATTACTTTAATCTGAATCATGGCCAGGCCTTAATTGGGGAAACAATATTTTCCAACATCATTTTTTTTATTAATACCACTTGAATTTGAGGCTTTGCTTAAGGATATTAAAGGGTCTGTTTAATTTCCATTTTCCATTTTTTTAAATTACTCATTTGTATAGGTATTATGCTTAAAAATGATTTCAAAATATATTCTTGTTGCTTTTAAATAGAAGATAACGGAAACAAATGAGTGAGTTGATTTGAGTCACTCATCAAAATCCAAATCCTATCTCTCTGTCTTCAACTTCTAGTTAGATACGTTGGCGAAGACTTCTATTATTGCATGACTATAGTATTCTCTGAAGTTGATATTCCAACTTGCATCCCACGGCCAAACATTCATAATCACACGCATGATAAAATTCCAACTATCACATCTTTTCATAACTAACTATAACCTATGAGTATTTAATTAATTCATATTTTTATTTTTCATCTATTCATAGAAATTGTGAGAATTATTTAACTTGAAATCCAAGTTTCAGTGTAGGTTCACCACAGTAATTAAATTTTAATATGTTACTCCTGAAATACCTCGAGAAAAAGCACTAAAGTAAATCTAAACGTAGGTCTTATTAATAAAAAATATCATATAGGAGCATCACTAGTTTTTCTTTTGAATTTTTTATATTGCTTATAGTGTCTTCCTATTATAAACAATCCTATTCGAAGTACAATTAGGCACTAAATATTGGCTCTTTCATTAATTTTTTTTAAAAAGTGGATCATCTCTTAAAAGGCAAAAAACAGACCTAGAAAGTTTTCAAATTTATATTCCTCTCTTTCTTGTTCTTTTCCACCGATTTCCTCTTATAAGGGAGAAGTTTCTTTTTGAAAATCAAAAGGAAAAAAAATCCTTTCTTAATCATCGTATAAGCTTTCAATCAAAACCTATATATTTTTATTATATTTTTTTAATACAAAACACTATGGTCAGAGATCATAGAAGAGACAGAGATAAATCAATGGTTAGGAGTGAAGGATTCAAAGCTAATTTATCTTGTTCGAGATATTTTCGAGTACTAAATGTGAGTGCTTCTTTTAATTAACAAAGATTCAAATCTAGTTCATCACGATGTGAAATATTAACACCTTTTGCCAGACCCAATTCAATTCCTGTCGTTATGATGTACATGCTTGTTTTTGCGTATTCAGAAGCTGACAATTATGCAAGTCTTTATGAACTCGCCACCTTTTGTATGAGGATTCAAGTCTTTGTCGTTTTATGCCCATTGGGTTAATCTTGCAAGACATTTGGAGGAGTGATTAAGCCACTCAAGAATAATGTACGAGCTTGCAAGACTACACATACCCTTTCCGATCTTATTTATCATAACATATCTGGAGGAGTGGGTTTTGTGGTTTTTTTCAAGGCACGACATGATATTAATTCATTATTAGAGAAATACGATTTAGCAAGGGGAATGTTTATTTCCTCCCTAAAAGGTCAAACTAACGAGGAATGTAATGAGGAATTGCAACTTCATCACCCAATATAATATTAGTTAGGAAAATAATTTTTTAATTCAAATCAAGTCATTAATAATTCTAGCAGTTATCAGTCTAATTGGTTCAATTGTCTGGTTCTCAAAACATTGCCACCATCCTACTCAGATTTGAATTTGGTTAAAGTCCGTACCTGCAATCATCTAATTTCACTTTGTAGAATTTAATAGGGATAAAGTAAATATTAGTCCCTTACGTTTGAAGTATTATCGATTTGGATCCTCAACATTAATTTCTATCATTTTAGTCCTTTATGTTTGCTTCTATTATCAAGTTACTTTTTTAATTTTTGAAAGATAAAATAACTCTAAAAAAACTTGTGTGAAAATTAGATTGCTGGTGTGGAAATATACATGTTGATTGAATAAAGCACATTAGCTAAATTTGTCAAGTCCTAATTACTTATTTGTTATTTATTTTATTATTTTATAATTTATAATTTAACATTATATAGATTTATTAGGGCATATTTAAAATAAATAATAGATAAGTAATTATGACTTTCCAAATTTGACTAATGTATGTTATTTAATCCACATGTATATTCCCGCATTAACAATTTAATTTTCACATTAGTTTTTTTAGGATTATTTTTTCTTACAAAACTTAAAGAAATAACTTGATAACCAGAGCAAATATTAAGGATTGAAATGTTAGAAATTAAAGTTGGGGAACCAAATCGATAGAATTTCAAAATATAAAAGACTAAAAGTTGCTTTATCCTAATTTAATAAAATAAAACGTCATGATGTTAAGAGAAGACTTGGACAAGAGTCATGAGAGTCTTTTGGGATATTTCCACTCTTCTTCCTTCATGAGAAGAAAAATTTGCATCACCTTGCAACATTTTTCTTGCTGGCCAATTTGTGGCCTGAAAGAGTTGGACTATCATCATCATCACATTGTTGTGGAATTAATACTCTTAATATAGATCGCTATTTATAAAGTTTTTCATTTATCATTAGAGGGATTCCAATATTTTTTTTATTTTTGATTTTATTGGTAAGACTTGAACAAAAAGACTTTAGTTAAGAGATGATAAGTTTCTTATGATTCACTCCAACCCCTATTAGTGTTAAAACAATATTTCTATTATTACATGGGCTCATTTCCTTTGTCTTTGAGTATTATTGATACTTTCTTTTTGTTATTTTGATGACAAACCATTAATTATCAAATACAACTAACTAAATTAAATTCTAGTCAGGTAGAGCCTTGATCATACCGAAAATATTTTTAAGTGTGATTTTTTATTATTAATAAGAATCGAACTCTTAAAACATACGGAAAATATTATTGATATAGATTTGTTAATTATCACTTATTCTAGCAATGATTAGGATGGAATAGTACTTTTTTGGTTCTATTTTTAAATCACTTTTAACACATTTTACAACTAAAAATATTAAAACTTATTAACTCTGTTTAAAAATATAATAAGTTTTTAACTTTACTCACATTTTATATATATATATATATATATATATTAATAGTGTTTCTCTCACCAAAATTAAATGGAAGGTAAAAGAAAAAATTTATGATCAAA